ATTTTCGTTATCGCGACATTTTTAAAATAGGTAAAAAATTATATTTAGGTTGGTAACTTCCGGAGGATCTCTACCATGACAGATTCCCGAGGAGAACAGGCGTCGCAGAGCGCCCTAGCGCGCCGTAAAAGCGGCTCATACATGCATACTTTGGAGAAAAGAAGTTTGACATTTGTATTTAAAATTTATATTTTCGGTCAATAATGAAACGTGACCATGAACTAGAGTGAAAGTGGGAGAAGAGGCTACTTAATTTGGTTTAGAGTCAAGCTTGGAGCCTTCAGTGGGTTTTGGATTATTGCGGTAATTTATTATTTTATTATTTTATTTTTTTTTTTTGGAAGAGGGGGGAGGGGGCGGCGGCATGATTAAGCTTTGTTTTTAAAAATACATGGGTACCTAAATGTCAATAAAAATGGAAAGTAGAAATTAGCAGCATTGCAAAATCTTAACTACCTGGTACCTACGTGCGAGTTCTTGAAAGAAAGCCATTCTCGAATGAAATAGCTCTCTTTCATCTTATCCCTCTTCTTCTCTCTTTAATCCCCTCTGCTGGGGTCCCTAGCTGCGAAAGAGGACACTTTACCTATCTTCAAAAAACAAAATCATAGAATTTATTTGGCTTCTCAAATTTTCGGTAATGATAGAGAGCTGACACTTATTTAACGTGTGCTCACCATCCTCTCATCCAATTTTTGAGCGGAGTTTTCTGAGGGATTAAGGCATCTTTGAGGCCGATTTCATGGAGAACACATGCAGACCTAGGGTGCGTCAAAAAAAATGAAAGTCTGAAATGTTCCGCTCCCCAGGCGGCAATCGATGACGTTTGGTAAAAAAACATGTTTGCCAAAATTTGGGCCAATTTCAACCATTTTAAATGGTGCCAAAGGTCAATTTAGTGATAAAATTATGATATTTTGGTTTAGACCTCGTTTTCGTACAAAAAACTCGATTTTACGCTGAAATCGTGCGTTCACGAGAAAAATGTCACAGAACTCAAGTTGTAGAGGATGAAATTTTACTCTAGGAAGACGTCTTTGTAAACGATATAAATCAAATTGAACCAGAAAAACTCAACTCGGTATTTATTTTTTTGGCCCTCAGAATTTCCGAGGTCTTACAAAGTAGCGGTTTAAAAGACTCATTTTTCACGAAAATAAGTCGAAAGAGGGTATAAATGAACTGTAGGCAAGTGTTGAGGATGCAAATGTCATTGGAACTTCCTCAGTTTCGAAAGAAGTTCCAACTATTTCGCACAATCCTCCAAAAAGTGTACGGCTCGAGAAGCAGGATCGTGCTATAATAGTAAGGGAGAAGTGCGGTTTGACCGGGAAAAATTGCGTAACAAACTTCCCCTATGTAAGCGTCATCAGTAGGTCCCCATGAACAACTTCCTAATAGTGAAAAATGGCCCGACCCCGGAACACTCCTCAAAATAGTTGAAATCGAAAATGGCGGCCGTAATAAGGGGTCCGGGAAGTTGGTATTTTAAAATGCTCATTCTGTCTCATGTGAGGTATCATTTCCTATGTAATTTTGGTCGTAGATTTCATAAATGGATTCCACAAGGCCCCCTAGGTCAAAGGGGGCGCTCCAAATCAAAGATGGCGGCCAAATGTGAAAGGCAGGAGGTTGCATTTTTTTAAATATTCACCGACGGAACAAGGAAAGTGAAGTGTCTCTATTTTCATGTATTTATGGCCAAGAAACCTAAATTTGATGTTATAAAAAAAATGCAACCTCCTGCCTTTCACATTTGGCCGCCATCTTTGATTTGGAGCGCCCCCTTTGACCTAGGGAGCCTTGTGGAATCCATTTATAAAATCTACGACCAAAATTACATAGGAAATGATACCTCACATGAGACAGAATGAGCATTTTAAAATACCAATTTCCCGGACCCCTTATTACGGCCGCCATTTTCAATTTCAACTATTTTGAGGGGTGTTCCGGGGTCGGGCCATTTTTCACTATTAGGAAGTTGTTCATGGGGACCTACTGATGACGCTTACATAGGGGAAGTTTGTTACGCAATTTTTCCCGGTCAAACCGCACTTCTCCCTTACTATTATAGCACGATCCTGCTTCTCGAGCCGTACACTTTTTGGAGGATTGTGCGAAATAGTTGGAACTTCTTTCGAAACTGAGGAAGTTCCAATGACATTTGCATCCTCAACACTTGCCTACAGTTCATTTATACCCTCTTTCGACTTATTTTCGTGAAAAATGAGTCTTTTAAACCGCTACTTTGTAAGACCTCGGAAATTCTGAGGGCCAAAAAAATAAATACCGAGTTGAGTTTTTCTGGTTCAATTTGATTTATATCGTTTACAAAGACGTCTTCCTAGAGTAAAATTTCATCCTCTACAACTTGAGTTCTGTGACATTTTTCTCGTGAACGCAGGATTTCAGCGTAAAATCGAGTTTTTTGTACGAAAACGAGGTCTAAACTAAAATATCTTAATTTCATAACAAAATTGACCTTTGGCACCACTTAAAATGGTAGAAATTGGCTCAAATTTTGGCTAACATGTTTTTTTACCAAACGTCATCGATTGCCACCTGGGGAGCGGAACATTTCAGACTTCCATTCATTTTGACGCACCCTAATGCAGCCCCCCCCCCCTTCCTGCTTGCCCACCTCAAGCGGCAGATTCGCTAGCTACATTTTAGGCGAGCGTTTCAAAATGCCAGGTTGAATGAAAAAAGTTGACACTTCATTGACTTGAAACGTCGTTTTGATGACATAATGATGAATGTTCTGTATTGTTCTAATAATGCAGTATTCTTGAGTACGTCATCAAAATCAAAATGAGAAACCCCCTACTTAAGTTCCATTCGCTCAACCAGGTGATAAAAGCTTGCTATAAGGAGCAGGGGTGGAGAAATTGCAATAACTAACCATCAAAAACCCAAAAAAGGGTAAAAATCTCGTCAAGACTATGAGATCTCAGCATGAGATAATGCATTCAGAAAAAAAGAAAAAACTTCCAAAATCTCAACAAGTATTTTCCATTTTAAACCTCAAAATGTCTGATATCATTTAGAGATCAAGATTTTCCTTAGCCTCTAATCCTCCGATACGCTTCAAAACTACAGCAGGCTATGGAAACTTAATTCCAGTTGCAATCCCTTCAGTTTCCTGGGCATAAAAAGTTTCTCTTTGAGGTAAGTTTGGTTGTCAGAGCCTCGTACACAAGGTGCTTAAGAATTCATTAGGCATGGGATAAGTTCCCTTTGCAAAATTTCTTAGCTTTACTTCATCATACCAATCTTTCAGTTCCAAACCTTGAAATTTTTAATATCATTTGAGGTCAAGGATTTCTCCCCCCCCCCCCCCCCCNTCCCCCAATGCGCACAGAGTTTAGGTACTAAGCAGCATTAAGAGGGAAAGGTACAGGTATAATTAATAGAAAGGTATTCACGACATGGATGATTTCAAAATTTGATATCTGTAACATGTTTGGGATAATATTAGGCGTAAGTACATATGACAAAGCATACGACAAATACGTAAGTACAATTCTGCTTTGCTTTACCGACCAAGTCGTACACATCTTTTTTGCCTAAAATTTAACACTAAGTACTAATATTGTGTTTCTCCCACACATAGACAGCCTCCTTTTATTTTTCAAATTTTCTCTGAGATCTACGCCCAATTCCAATAAGGAAAGAAGGATGTTACCTTACTTAGTCTTCAGCTGCCAAAGCTTTATCCTGAAAACATCCCTGTGCGCAAAAATCCTCCAACTCATCCCTTATCATCTGGCATCCTCTGCCTACTTAACAATAAATCCTGTAATCAAACATACATGGCTTAGATATAAATGAAGCCCCTCCCCCCTTATTTTCCATCAAAATTCAAAATTTAAATAGGTACGTTTAGGATTGACTTCAATGCCTCAGAACGCTATGGGGAACAAGCTTGTGATTTCTCCAGAAATTCTAAAACTTTTCCCTCCTTAATCCATAAATTTTATCAGAAAAATATCTTTCCGAAGAATTTTGAGAATTACCCTGGTTAGGACTTGGTTGGGACTCATTTAGAAATTTAATCTCAACCAAAAAAGGTCAATTCCCTGAGCTGAGCAGTTTAATTTTTTTCCGAGTGTGAAATTTTTGCTTGGCACCATTATGAGCAAAGAGTAGGGGAGAAGAGAGAGCAACAGAGCAGAATCATGGAGTCCGAGCGAGCTGCACGCACGCTCCACCAGCTACTCCCGCTCTGAAGAAGAAGATACGGAGGCCCTGCTCACCTGCACATCGTAGGGGGTCTTTGCCTGCAAAAACGCTCAATTTGACAGATACACATTCATGACGTAAACAATGGAGGGCAAAGATGGTATTTGATGAGTGGTGCAATAGATGGATTGTATCAATCGGGCTTTTAGTAGATCATTCCCATGATTCCGTTTCCGGTCGGCACATAAGTAAATATGTCCGGTCAGTACATACGTCTCTTTATTTTAGGTATACCTTACCTACCCTAACCTAATCTTACCAAACCTAACGTTACATACCGATTATACTGATACTGGTACCGATATCAAAACCGGTATTACCGATTTATATTTTTTTTTTCTAAACATAGTGCTTACTCTTACTTCAGAACATAGTATATGCATTCTATATGTCAATCCAACTTCCTTCAAATAAATAAGCGAGAGTAGGTACGGAACTGTATTGAGAGTACCGTTCGAAGGTATAAAAAGAAGCCCGAGTACGGAACTACGCCCTAATTTCGAACTTACCTTGGCTGGTGGTCCATTGAAACAAAAACATAATTTCCACAGAGCTAAGGAGAATGGAGGCAAGAACTCTGGACAGCCGTGGAAATAATTAGCATCCACCGTAATGATTATGAGGGTTAGGTCGGGCAACCAGTAGCAATGCACTTCGCTGCGAGCCACCACCGATTTTTTAAAACATCCATCCGAAATCTTAAAATAAAACCGAAAGGAGGGATGATGGATGAAGCTGGTAGAAAAAACAATTCTTACCTCTGTAGAACCACGCAGATGTTGACAAGGAGGGAACTGGGCGAAAGTTAATCCATTGACGATGACAGGTATATGAAGAGGTAATAATCACCAGCACTTCACTGCATCAATGTGTTATCCAGAGATGTGGCTGGCACGAATAGCACTGCCAAAATATAGGGAGACGGCTTACTCAGCAAAATGGGTAACTTTAATCTGAAAGTCATCCTGATAATTTTTCCAATTCATGAAAAAAAATTGGTAGAACAGGCGCTGATTGTTGCATCCCTGCCAGAGACGTAGGCACACAGAAATTTTAGATCGATGGGGTGGCCGGTTGTGAAATAAAAGAACAGAACACTTTGAAATCAAAACCCTTACAGGATGGTGAAAAGAGAGGAGACGCAGAATATTACGAATCAGAAAAATTTCAGGAGATGAAGTAAATTTTGGGACATTTGTCGGATCAACGAGAATACTGAGTGATCTGGGTATTACGAGTACTGGGGTTCCACAACCTAAATTGGCGATGCACAGTTTAGTAGTTCTTGGAAAACATAACCGTGTGCTCGTTAGTCATTTCAGATGAACTATTTGATTAACACAGAATTGACTCTCTACTTGTACATAAACGACTGGGCCGATTCATCCAGTTGGGAGTTCGGTTGACAGCCCAAGGATTCGGAATGGAAAATCATAAGAACGTGACACCGTGACGCACAAGGAATCAGGAAATGAAATGTGAGAGGCACGGTATTTGAATAAGAATTTTGCGAGTAGAATCCGTGAAAGCAGAATGAAAAGCATTGGAAAAGCACAAACCTAAAGGGACACTCTCGACCTCGAGTCGGTGCGGTCTGCCCGTCTGCGGTCACTGACACCAACTGTCACCAACACCAGGGACCAGTTCTATAGGACCCTGGACTCCCGTAAGAGTCAATGTAAAAATTCGTGAGCAGGTACTAGTGCTGCTGTCTCGCGTAGGATCCTTGCAACTCACTGCTGTTATCAGTTGTTGGACTTCATTAAAATCCGTAGGATCGCGTGTAACTGCAAAAAATCGAATTTTTCACCGTCCTGCAACATTCAGCGTGCCGCTTCAAGCGGAAAGGGATCGAAAAACGCCAAAAATATACTTATTTTTCAAGAATTCAGCCGCCTTATGTGTTATTTTTCAATCTCCGGCTTAACCTCACTTTTGGAGCGGGCGATGGATGCACAGATGGATGAGTCGAGGTTCGGGGGGAAGGATCCTCTGAGTTGACTAGGATCCTACACGAGAATGCGCTGCAATCACCCGCTCACAACAGAACGGCGTCCTATAGAGCTCGTCCCTGCCAACACTAACAATCCAAGAACATTACTGCAATGCTAAATGCTAGAGTACCTATATTGAGAGAGTATGGCCACTGGGTCCCATGGAGAGGCTTAGGCATGGACCAAGAGAATAAATAAGGACCCCCAACTCCGGTTAGCGCTGACATCAGCGCTCCCTGGCAGAGGGTGTAGTGAACTAAACCGATGATTGGGTCTTCCTGTTTATATTTCCATGCACCACCTATTTAGGCTTATCACATCACTCAGTAGTGCTCATAGAAGTTTCTAGATCCTCGTAGAGTACCTGTATAGGGAGAGTAGCGACAGATCGGTTCATGGAGGGCTTAGGGCCCAAAAGTGCAGCCACCCTTCTGAGCAACTTCTAACACACAAAATTTCACTGCCAGCCTACAGATTTCAATTCTAACCAAGATGGCTAAGAATGTACATAAATGAGCGTTCTTTCGCAAAAATAAGTA